CAGTCACTGGAGCAAGCAAGCCTCCCTGTTCGCTTCAGTGCATGGCTGCCGGCCGCCATCTTGGCTGACAGTTAATTTGCATAAGGATATGCTGATTAGCTAATGGGAAGGGTAGCGGTTGTACGCTAATTACCATGTTTCTCTTTTATTAGTGTAGATGAGTCTCCAAATATAAGATCCTACATCTTGCCAATGTACAATTTAAATTGAGGCCTGAGCTTCTCCAGGCAGTAGAGTTAGCAGCAATATTTATCAAGTTCAGCATGTCCCAAGCTGAATTCATTATCTTCTCTCCCTCAACAAAAAAAATTTTGAGCATCTGTAATGTATCAGGCACTGAGGATAAAATTATGAACAGCAGCCCTGGCTGGGTGGCTCAGTTGGTCAGAGTGTCATCCGTACACCAAAAAGGTTGTAGATATTCCCAGTCAGGGCACATATCTAGGTTACGGGTTAGATCCCTGATAGGGGGCATGTACAGGAGGCAACCAATTGATGTTCTCTATCACATCGATGTTTCTCTCTCTCTCTCTCTCTCTCTCTCTCTCTCTCTCTCTCTCTAAAACAATAAACATATCCTCAGGTGAGGATAAAAAAAATTATGAACAACAAAACCCACACCCCTGCTTCTTTAAGTTCTTTTGAAGTGGAAATGGAGCTGGAGTAATTTCAAGTGGCATGTGATGCATGCTACAGAAGGAATCAGAAGAGCCTAACAGAAACAAATTGTACCAGGAGTGAGGTTTCAGTGAAGAGCTGACCAGAGGAGGCACAGAGTATATAGAATTGAAAACAGCATCATCGTGGGCCATAAAGCATGAGACTCTGCTCCCCAACTCCAAGAGGGAATTCTAATGGGCAGGGTGTGTTGCAGCAAAATCTACTTGAACTCTTGGCTGTTGTCCTTTGGAATCCACACAAGAAGCTTGAGCTTCTATAATAGACTAGAAGCCCAGTGCACGAAATTCATGCACGGAGGTGGGAGGTCCCCTCAGCCCAGCCTACACTCTCTCCAATCCGGGGCCCCTCAGGGGATGTCTGACTGCCGGTTTAGGACCGATCCCAGGGATCAGGCCTAAACCAGCAGTCAGACATCCCTCTCACATTCCTGGACCACTGGCTCCTAATCTCTCACCTGCCTGCCTGCCTGGTCACCCCTAACTGCCCCTGCTTCCAGCCTGATCACCCCTCACTGCCCCCCCTGCTGGCCTAGTCACCCCTAACTGCCCCCCACTGCTGGCCAAGTTGCCCCCAACTGCTCCCTCCCTGCCGGCCTGGTTGCTCCTAACTGCCCCCCCCCCAACCTGCTGGCCTGATCGCCCCTCATTGCCTCTGTGTGTTGGCCTGATCACCTCTAACTGGCCCCCATGACTGTCTGGGCCTGGTTGCCCCTCATGGCCCCCACGCCAGCCTGGTCACCCCACGTAGCCTACTGTTCAGTTGTTTGGTCGTTCCTCACTAATGCCCCTGCCGGCCTGGTTGTAGGCAGCCATCTTGTGAGGGCATGAGGGTTAACTTGAATATTACCTCTTTATTATATAGGATCCTCTCTTTCTTGTGGAGAATCCAGCCCATGGGTTCAGGTGGGGCTTACCCTCATGGGCTGAACGTATGACTCCAAACTGGTGCTCTACCACCCTGGCCATTGTGATTGGTTCATGGATGGATGCATGACAAAAGCAAGGCCAATCAGAGTCTCTCAGGACAGAACCCAACCTCCTCTGGTGTTTGAGGCCCTCTGTGAGGGGCCCTCTGGGACCTCTTTAGCCTCCTGCCCCACCACCTCTGCTTGGCTTCTACAGTACAGAACAAAGTTGCAGGCAAGGCTCTGCTATTTTCCTCTCCGTGGCTCTGCACACACTGCCATTTGCTGGGAATGCCCTTCCTTTGCTACTCATTTTTCCAGGCTTAGCTCAAGGGTCACCTCCTCCAGGAAGCCCTCTGGGCTCCTGTATCACCCCATGGTTTTCTGTGTCCATCCTGATCATACAGTGCTGCTCTCAGGTGTCTGAGGGCAGGGACCCTTATGATCCATTCTTGGTCCCCAGAGGTCAGCCCAAAGCTAGGCCCAGGTGAGGCCTCCCGGAATATTTGCTGAGAATCTGAGAGGATCTCTGGGTGTAACTAGCAAGGTAGACCACTGCAAGCAGGTGACTTTGGGGACCAGTGTTGTGGGCAAATGGAGTGGGGGGCCAGAGTAACTGGGAGGCTTGGGAGTCGAGGAAGTGGAGGCACCAGGCAGCCCTTTTTGATATCCCAGCTGCCCTTCTGTCCTCATCTGCTCAGAACACTTCTTGTCAGTTTCCCTTTATTCAGGCCCTCGCTGAACAATCCTCTCTGGGGATGTGAGTTTATATGTCTCCCCAGGAATCCCCCAAATTCCCCAGTGGCCCCAAACCTCTCTACCAAAGGTACTATGGCCTGAATGTTGTGTCCCCCCAAAATTCACCTGTTGGAATCCTAATGTCTGTGTGATGGTATTAGAAGGTGGAGCCTTTGGGAGGTAATTAGTTCCTGAGGGTGGAGCCTACTTGAATGGGATTAGTGTTCTAATAAAAGAGACCCCACAGAGCTCCCTTCCACCCTGTGAGCACAGTGAAAAGGTATGGGCTGTGATCCGGGAGGGGGGCCTTCACCTGACGATGCTAGCACCCTGACCTTGGACTTCCAACCTTCAGAAGTAGGAGATACAGATACAGCAGATTAAGGTAAAAGACTCCCTAAAACTTGTCCTAATGATTCCACCATTAATACCCCAAATTTCCCCTAAAAAATACCCTGCCCGGTGCCGGGAAAGGGTGGTGTGCCCCTTACCTAGGGCTTCTCCAGGGCAGGGAAGCTGGTGTTGGTCTCCTGTGATGGCCGCCAGGGGAGGGGGAGGGCAGGTTCCTCCTTTATACTGTACCTCCCCCACACAGCTGCTCAGAAAGGTGACACTCCCCCATCTATTTCTGGATATCTCCTCCAGGCTCAGGAACACTAGCCTCTGCCCAGTCTGCCCTGGGCCAGTGCTCTCCCCATAAAAAAAAAGGAATCCCTGAAGCTAGAGACAAGGTGGGTAGGGGCATGGAGGCTCTAGGCTGGAACAGCGGCCTCCTGCCTGGATTTGGTCCTGGGCTCAGCACCCCTGGCCTCAGAGAACATCTCCTCAGGTTTGTTCCATTCAGGTGAGCATGGAGACTCACCTAAGGTGAAGGAGAGATTCCCAGATCAAGAAGGCTGGGTCTGGGTCCCAGCTCCAGCGCCGATTTGCCATGTAATCTTGGAGGACTTCCTGCCTGACTCTGGACCTGTTCAATGGCTAGATTTGACTCCATCTCTTGGGGTCTTTCTTGGGTTTCCAAATCTTGGGAACAATTCCCCAAATCCACAGGGTGGAGAGAGGACAAAGCCATGATCCCATTAGACCTGTTCCCAGGAACGGTCTCAGCAGGCCTTCTGTCCCAGACAGTATCTTCTGTTCCAGCAACAGCAAACGCTCCAGTCCCTCCAGGCAGGCAGGGTATGGAAGCAGATGCTGCTTTTCACAGTAATGCTCAACAGTAGAGTGGCTTCTGATTTTCTTCTAATCAAGGGGACCTTGGGGGTGGCCAGTCTCTTTGGAGGGGCAGAAGGACTTGTCTTGAAGCTGCTTGCCTGACAAGCATTCTTGCTTTTGGGGATGCCATTCTTTTTTCTTTTTCTTTTTTTTTAATTTCGGAGAGGAAAGGAGAGGGAGAGATAGACACATCAATGATGAGAGAGAATCATTGATTGCCTGCCTCCTGCATGCCCCCCACCAGGGACCAAGCCTGCAACCCGGGTATGTGCCCTGACTGGGAATTGAACCGTGACCTCCTGGTTCATAGGTTGATGCTCAACTGCTGAGCCACACCAGCTGGGCTGAAATGCCACTCTTTCCACCTCCCACCTTCACCCAAGCCCAAACACAGTTCACCTTCCTTATTAGTCTATAGAAAGGCTTTTTGGAAAAAGCAGGATTCGAGGTGAAGGAAATTTTTTATTTGGTTGGTATCTGAGGGGATGGGGCTAAACTAATAAGCCAGACTAGGATGGAAGCCTGGGGTAAATCTAATCTCCATGCCCACCTCAGCCCCAGCAGGAAGTGGGCAGTCTCTTCAGTCCTGACAGTCAGGAACCCCAACTCCTCTGGCCATTCTGGGGGCTACCTCTCTCACCCCAGAGGCTCAGGCCCTCAGAAAGTTCTTCCCAGAGCTGCTTACTGATTCCTCGGCTGTCCCGTTCCCCCATTCCCTCTGACTGGGCATCCGAAGCTCAGAGCCAGGTTATTTATAGACTGGCCCACAGTAGGGGAGGGGAAAGGCCAGTGTTTATAAACACGGGTCTGGGTGGGGGTCGGGCTGGACCTTGAGGATCTGAAACTGAGAGCTCTGCATCTGGTCCAACGCCATTGACAGAGAAGGGGGATGAAGAGAAGGGAGGGGTGGGGGCTCTGAAGAGTGGACCATATGCAAATTACATGCA